CGAAATTCTACAAGCATTGCGTCATCTAGATGCCAGACATGTTGGAGTCTATGCAGCCGACAGAGTTCCGAGGGTGTGGACGAGGTCGACGGCTATCGTCGCTAACACCGACAATCACGATCGACCTGGAGAACATTGGATCGCCTTCTACCTCGATGAACACGGCACAGCCACTTACTTCGACAGCTACGGATTACCCCCCTTGTATCCAGGATTTCTCATCCGACTTCGACGAAACTCCATCATCCATCGTTGGAATATTCAACAATTACAAGGAATTTTTTCTAAGACTTGCGGACAATACTGCTGTGTATTTTTATATTATATGTGTAGCGGCTATAATCTTAATCAGTTTCTCGCTCTTTTTTCCGAAGATTGCGAATATAACGATCGTTTAATCATACACTTATTTCGTAAAATTTTTACTCACAAAAAACAAGCGAATCATAACAATATATAATATGAATTTTAGTATTAATAAATAAATTTTGTTCTGTAAAAATATTTTAAATATAAATCATATTTGTACTTTTAAAACCATTGTTCAATTTTCTTTCACTTCCTCTTTCCAGAAATTGTTATTTTAAAATAAAATTTTATCCGACATCTTTTCAACAATAAGCATTCTTTCTAATCTACGATGATGCATTATTTTTTTTTATCGTGACACGAGTCGGAATGCTCGCCAGTACAAATATTTGCGTGTTCTTTTTTATTACCCTACGGCATTGTCAGTTACTACCTGCCACCGATCCCCGGTCGACCGCATGACGCTTTTCTTGGTCAAAATGTTTTTACCCCACCCCGTCTAATATCGACCATTTGATTCGACGAGCTATCCTTGCCATACGTATACCCTAACTGTTTTTACCCCACCCCGTCCAATATCGACCATTTGATTCGACGAGCTATCCTTGCCATACGTATACCCGTACCCCCATACCGTACCCTACGCAACTTTAGCTTAAATACCTCATCTAATCCTTAGACTAGTAAGATCTCGTTTAGCTCAACATACTAGGACCCTGCTCGGAAACACGAAGGCCCCAGGTTTAAATCCAGAGGAAATCAGAAAAAATAAAAAAAAATAAAAAAAATTCTCATCCCCACCTTTTGGGGCCAGTCGCCATTTTTTTTTCCCCAACACCCTCTCCCCCTACACCCACACGCGGAAAAACCAGACGCCGGTGGTGGGGGAAAGATAAGATAAGACTCGGCGCCAGACGGGTCGGTGGTGGGGGTTTGTTTTGACGGGCCATAGTGCCCACTATACTACTGCTGTACAACCGACTGCGTTCGTTTGCTATAATTTCTTAATTTCATGGCAATATGTTCTCCATATACTTTACTATTATCACGTTGAGCACAGGCTTGTAGCATGTTAAATGCTTTATCAATACGAGAATCCTCTGATTCTTTATTATCAAGTTTGCGCTTTCTCGCTTTCACTGATACAAAATGAGATCGCCGTGTTTCAGATTAAGTATCAGTAATGTTTTTTTCAGAAGTATTTTGCATATTTTCCCATATTTTCTTTGCTTTTTTTATTTTTATCTGCGATGTCATTTTTATCAGCAGTGAGTTCAATCTAAAAAAAGAATTTAAAAAAATATAAATAAATATATATATAAATATTATAAATTATAATTATAATTATATAACTATATTTTTATAACTATAGAAACATATAATGTGTAACATAATATAACAAATTAATAACAATTATCCAAAAAATAATTTTATATATTGTTTATAGATGCCAGAAACACAAAAGAAATGGTTAGACATATCTGAAAATTTCGAAAAACTATGGAATTTTCCACATTGCATCGGTTCAATTGATGGAAAACACGTAGTTATACAGTGCCCTATTAAAAGTGGGAGCGATTATTTCAATTATAAGGCATTCTTTAGCATCGTTTTATTTGCAATGGTGGATGCAAATTATAATTTTATCTTTGTGGATGCCGAATATCAAGAAAGGATATTCCGATGGTGGTATTTTTAAAAATACATAATTATTTAAAAGTTTACAGAATGGACATTTAAATTTACCATCACCAAAACCATTGCCAGAGCATCAAATATCTATATCTTACATAATTGTAGGAGATGAAGCTTTTTCTCTAAATGATAATTTAATGAAACCTTATTCAGGAATTTACTCAAAAGGTTCAAAAAAAAGAATTTTTAATTATAGACTTAGCAGATGTCGTAGAGTTGTTGAAAACGCGTTTGGAATTTTATCGTCTGTTTTTCGAGTATTAAAAAAGCCTATGCTTTTGCAACCTGAAAAAACCGAGTTAGTTGTGATGGCTTGTGTTTATTTACATAATTTCTTACGAAAAAGCAAGACGTCGAACAATTTATATTGTCCAAAAAATACTTTAGATAAAGAAGTGAATGGACAAATTATTTTTGGCACTTGGAGAAATGACACTGAAATGTCATCTTTATTTAGCATTAAAAAAGTTTCGAGAAAATCCCCAAAAAGGGCTCAACAAATTCGTGAAATTTGTTCTGCTTATTTTTTGAATAATGGAACCATTCCATTGCAAAACGAATATACTTAATGTATTAATTAATTCTATATTTTGTGTTGAGTTATTATCTATTAAAAACCTATATATATCGAAATGTATAATAAAACATTTCTCAATATTCAAAAGCTTTACAAATTTATTGAAATTTCGACCTAACTGGCCAGTACAATTTAATTAGAAACACTACGTTTCGACCCTTAGGTATGGGTCCTTTTCAAGTGTAACTTTCAAGATGTTGATTCGACAGCAGTAAAATTACTAATGTAATTTAGTAATTTTACTGCTGTCGAATCAACATCTTGAAAGTTACACTTGAAAAGGACCCGTACCTAAGGGTCGAAACGTAGTGTTTCTAATTAAATTGTACTGGCCAGTTAGGTCGAAATTTCAATAAATTTGTAAGGTTTTACTCATCACTGGCGACTTCATTAATTTTATCGTTATTCAAAAGCTTTTCTTACCTTAATTTCCTTGTCAGAAAATGTTTTCTTCTGGGCTGTATTAAGTAATTTTCTATATTTATTTTTATCCATTAAAAATCGAAAACTCTCATACGCAAACCATTTGCTTTTATATATCTCATTTGAACCTAAAAATATTTTAATAATTAAAAATAAATTTTAATTATTATAAATAATAAATATTTTAATTGTACATCAAAATCTGTTGCATGATTTTAGTTGAAGCAATACAGTTTGAATAAATAATTTGATAACTTAACCTAAAAAAACATACCTTTACCTGTTCCTATTGACTGCTCTTCTTTAGTCTTTTCTCTTCTAAATGTTCACAAGCATATGCAAACGTTTGTAAACGTTTGTTCACGTTTGTAAAGAATGCTTTTTTGGTGGATACCCGGCTTAATAGTTACTTGGTGTTTGCTAGGGTTTCCTTATACGATTCTTCATAGGCATATGTGTATAAAACTTTTATAACTTATATTAATATAAAAACAATTGCCTTCACTGGAATTAAATTATAGTCATCTATTGTTAGGATTAACGTGAAACTTAAGCAAAGCTTGCAATATCTTCCATAACCATGAAAAATCGTGTCAAAAACGATATGCATGTATATTGCCGAAAGTATCTCATATTTTATTGATTAAACAGATAAAAATATAACTCGCATAATTACATCCCTCGCATGTATAGGCCCACATAAAGTGTTACAAGTTGTTTTTTCGTCACTATTAGAGATATTACTTAAAATTTTTTTTAATCAAATAGAACAAGGTGCCTACAAATTTGATGAATAAGAAAAATGTTGAGGGTTTTTAAGGAACAAAAGAAGAACCCCCCGCATTTTTTAAAAATGGAACCATTACATTTTTTCATATAAATCGGTTCCTTGCAATTTTTGCCATAAATATTCATCAGGATAATATAACCAAAAGTGAATAGTTTACGATATATGTATTTTGCACTTTAAGGTGGCACAATTTTACCTAAACTATAATATATCTCGTAAAATATATATTTTTGATGATTTTATCTCAATACTTTTATGCACAAAATAATGAATTGAATCAATTGGTGTAAAAAAAACACGTAATTGTTTAGAAATATATGTAGCTGCTAGTTGCAAATATGTTTTTCTTCAAAAAACTATGCGTTTTTTTATGCCAATCAATTATTCTTATTATTTTATGCATAAAAGTATTGAGGTAAAATCATTAAAATGAATATTTTATGAGATATTTTACAAAATATACAAAATTATGCCACATTAAAATACAAAATAACTCGTAAACAATTTACTTTTCAGTTATTTTACACTTATAACACTGTCGTAAACAATTTACTTTTCAGTTATCTTACACTTATTACACTGTTTATCGCAAGTAGAACCATGGAATCGATAAATGAATAAATTATAGTGGTTCCATTTTAGAAAAAAAATAAAGCGAGTCGTTCCTTTTTATTCTTTAAAAGTCTTCAACATTTTTCTTATTTATTACATTTTCACTTTGTCCTATTCCATTAAGAACAAATTTAATTCTATTAATATCTGTAGTAGTTTCAAAGAAAATAGTTTGTAACACTTTATGTGGACTACCCTCTGTATACATACATATATATTAGATGAGTTAACAAAAAAACTTAAATATTTGTTACTCGTAATTAATTAAATTCAAATGGTGCACGCTAATTATTTTTCCTACGTAGTATCTCCATGGCGTGCAATACAAGCGTTCTAGTATTTCAAAAGTGCATGGAAATCTTCAGAAAGAATGTCTTTTACGTGAGAGTATAAGCACTCATGCATTGACTGCTTCACTTCTTCGTCGGACCAGGAAATCGAATCTGTATCAAATAACTAGATGAAAATTTTATTAAATAGCCGAATTTAATAGAAAATTTATAATTTTATTGGCCCAAATCTAATTCACTCATTTTTGTAATTTTCATATTTTTAAAATCGACTTTCTGAGATTTGCTTCTCATTCTAGCGGTCCAAAGACATGAAAATTACTAAGGGCAAGATCTGCCGAATGCAGTGGATGTAAAACACAAAGAATCGATGGGTGGCAAATCTCAGATCCACCAAAGCAAAGGTGTGAAACCGGTGGTACATGAATGCCATTGTTTCAGGTTTGTTATGTAAAGATATTCTTGTATTTCCGAAGCTGGATTACTTATGTATTACATAGAATAAAATTAAATAGAAAGATAATGTAAGAGAGTATACATATTGTATTTAATAAACTACAAAATAAAAAATATTTAAGGTTCCAGTTGACTCATCTAATATATATCTAATTTAATTACGCTTATCTAATTATTTTCTACTTTATTATAATCAAACTTTTTTCTATTTATTAATAAAAAGCCTTGAAGAAAAGAAAAATGAAAAATTATAAAGTTATTAAAAAAACATGAAATGACTTTTATATCTATTTCATGCATATTAAAATTCTCATTAGTCATGTTATAAAAATTATTTTTGATATCAGCAACTGTCTTTAATAAAGAGCCCCGCATTAATCATAGAGTAAAATCTATCCTGGTCAAATCAATTGGTTTTTTCATGTTGTAGCTTATGACCTACTGAACAAAAGATGTGATGGTCACAAAGCTCAATAATGGACAGTTTTTTATTTATACCCAGTCAAACATGAAAAATTCGGGCCGCCGAATAGTCAAATCTCATAAAGTATTGATTTTTTGGAAAAATATTTGAAACAAAGATAGGTTTTACAAAATCTGTTAGCTGGTGACATTATTTTTGAATTTTAAATGATTTTGAATGACCTTGATGACGGCTCTAGCTATATAGAGCACTCTATACATAACTCTAGCCCTCTATACAGCTAAAGCCGTTATCAAGATCATCCAAAATTCAAAAATAATGTCACCAGCTAACAGATTTTGTAAAACTCTACTATTTTTGTTTCAAACATTTTTTCAAAAAATCAATAACTTTCGAGATTTGACTATTTGACAGCCCGAATTTTTCATGTTTAACTGGTTATAACTCGATAACTGTCCATTATTAAGTTTTGTGCCCATTACATCTTTTGTTCAGTAAGTCATAAGCTACAACATATGAGAAAACCAATTGATTTGACCGGGATAGATTTTACCCTATGATTAGTGCGGGCGGGTTTATGGGGCATAGATGAATATTAAACACGCAATCAATAAATAGAAATGCGACTTAATTTTATAAGAGAAACAAAAATCTTATCAACTGCTTTTAGGAAAAATTGCGATGCTGCTTTTCGTCGTATGTTTGCTGCCTCTAGTGATGACCGCGCCACTCGATTCACAAATGATCATCGAGACACCTTCAAATTTAATTCTGGATGTCCGTAACGGCACCCTAACAGACGTTCGATTTATCGAAGGTTCAAATAATACGGTAGTAGACATGTCAAATTTTTCTCTTCGTGGATTGGAAAAAACCGCTTTCGACAATGTGCTCGATGTAGAGTCGCTCATTTTGGCCAACAATTCGTTAACTTCTCTGCCGGAGTTTGTCTTTTCCAATTTATCAAGATTGAGGAGCCTGTCATTGTCGGGCAATCAAATATCGAACCTACGAAATTTGTTTGTCGGTCTGAAGAATTTGCAATTGTTGGATATCTCCCGTAATCTCTGTGAACGCTTCTGGAGAGGAGATCTGGTTGGTCTCACCAAATCCGTCAAGATTCTCACCAACGAAAATAAATTCCAGATGATCAGCAGGGGTATGTTTGCTAATTCCTCCTTTGAGAAAGAGAAGCCGACGCGATTAGTGGCGACAACGGAACACGAGATGAATTTTGTGCAGAACAATCAGGACGAAAAGGAAAGAAAAAATGAACACTGCGCGGAGGAACGCGATGCAGAAGAGTTAAAATCTCAAGAGATCGTTACGAGTCTTAACGAAGACACTCGAATAAAAATATGCAAAACGGACGGCATTGTGACAACGTTGGCGGTTATTGAGAAAGATGAAGATCTTATTGAAGAATGCGTTCAAGTATTTGTCAACTTAGTTAAGAAGCAAGTGGATCTTAGGGAGCAGGATATTCGAGGTTTTCAAGAGAATTGGTATCAGTTGCAATTGCTGCCAATTTTTTCATTGGATCTGTCGAGTAACAATATCACCGAGATTATAAAAGAGACGCTGAACAGTTTGCCGGTTGATCTGACGTATGTGAACCTTCTAGGCAACAATATCCATAGAATCCGTAGTCAAGTGATCGAAAACTATTACCTGAAGGCCATTAACCTTAACAACAATCTGATCGACGAAATTGAAGAGGATGCATTTGGAAGAACAAACTTACGGGAATTATATGTAGACAGTAATCAGTTGAAAAGTTTCGACTTTGTCTCCAGTTTACCAGACACTTTGAGGAAATTCGTCGCGAGCGGAAATTACATAGCGTCAATTCCTAACGGTGTTTTCTCCAAGTTCTCGTGTCTGGTCTCCCTAAATCTCGACTACAACGAAATCAAAGCATTACAGACTGATGTTTTTCAAGGTTTAAAATCTTTGCAAATGTTGCGTTTGAGAGGCAATAATGTAATGACCATCGAGCTTTCCGCTTTTAGAGGTCTGACGGCTCTCCGGACGATCGATCTACAGGGCAATTCTTTACGCGAACTGCCGAAAAACATCTTTGCCGATCTGACGTCTCTGTCGCAACTAGATCTCACTAATAACAACATCACGAAAGCTATGTTCGCCGATCTTCCGTCATCCGTTGGCTCATTGCTCCTTGATTATAATAATATTGAAGTGCTCGAGGAAGACAATTTTGTTCGAGTCCCGCAAGTCACGTTGTCATTAACTGGAAACAGAATCGCAAAAATAAAACGCGGCGCTTTCAAACTACCTACACTTGTGTATCTGTATTTGGATAAAAATCTCTTGACAACCATTAAAGGCGATAGCTATGAAGGTTTGGGTCGGTTAAAGCTCCTCTCGCTCTCGGAAAATAAGATATCAGAGATTCGCAAGGGCGCTTGCAACAATCTGGGCAGTCTTGCTCTGTTGGACATATCTAAAAATCCATTTGAAAAGTTAGAAAATGGCGCTCTTCACGGCCTTAACACCGATTTTCGTACTAGATTGTACATTCGCGCAAATAATTTGAAAGAGATACAAGGAGGTGTTTTTGATGATCTTTAATAAAATCTGTATTATTCTTTAAACCGTAAGTAAAACACACCTTTATGATTTACATTACTGCACAGTTTATAAAGTAGTTAATTATTTAATTATTATATAATATTATCATTCAATAAATGAAATTAATATCTTTAATAAATAATCCTTATCTTATTATATGCAATTTCATCTTTTTGCTGTAACTTTAAAACAATCGACTTTAGGGCAATATGTCTATTAAGACTATTTGAGTTAGAATGATCCCAAGAATACAAAGTTTCACTGTGGACATCACGTTGCAGGACACCCTGTATATTTTTAATTATTATTCCTTAATATTTTCATGGTCAAATGATAAGGAGAATCAATTGATGTAAAGGAGACACATATGATTTTTAAGATGTATATAATTTGCAATTACTACTACGCATATTTTTTTATTTATTATACTTCTTTAATGTAGTTAATTTTAAGCCACAGATTTTATATTCCGTAAAAATACATTTTAGATTTTAAAAAATCATTTCGTTCATCTATATTTAAGCTATGTGAACCTGGCACCCGACTTAAAGTAAATGGATATTTCAGGTACGCATTCGATTGTACTTCGTTTGTACCCGTTTGTACCGATTTTTATTTTGTTTGTACCCCTAAGGGTTGCAAGTTATTAAGGGTTGAAAAATCACCAGCACCCCACTTTGAGATATCGTAATTTTTGTGGTGCCGTTCGATTCAGTATCGTTTGTACCCGTTTGTACCGCTTTCCATTTCATTTGTACCCCTAAGGGGGTGGAAATACGGGGTATTTAATATTCGCGAAAGGGGTAACTTTGTCAATTTTAAAGATATTCGAATTCTGCAAACGGGTGCTGCTTCCTAATCGTTTGTACCCGTTTGTACCGCTTTCCATTTTGTTTGTACCCCTAAGGGGGTGGAAATACGGGGTATTTAATATTCGCGAAAGGGGTAACTTTGCTATTTCTAAAGATATTCGAATTCTGCAAACGGGTGCTGCTTCCTAATCGTTTGTACCCGTTTGTACCGCTTTCCATTTCGTTTGTACCCCCACAGGGGTGAAAGTACCGAATTTTTAAAATAGAGGTAAGAGCTAACTTTGTCAATTTTAAAGATATTCGAATTCGGCAAACGGGTGCTGCTTCCTAATCGTTTGTACCCGTTTGTACCGCTTTCCATTTTGTTTGTACCTCTAAGGGGGTGGAAATACGGGGTATTTATTGTTCGCGAAAGAGGTAACTTTGCTATTTTTAAAGATATTCGAAATCTGTAAACGGGTGCTGCTTCCTAATCGTTTGTACCCGTTTGTACCGCTTTCCATTTCGTTTGTACCCCTAAGGGGGTGGAAATACGGGGTATTTAATAATTGCAAAAGGGGTAACTTTTCTATTTTTAAAGATATTCGAAATCTGTAAATGGGTGCTGCTTCCTAATCGTTTGTACCCGTTTGTACCGCTTTCCATTTCGTTTGTACCCCTAAGGGGGTGGAAATACGGGGTATTTAATATTCGCAAAAGGGGTAACTTTTCTATTTTTAAAGACATTCGAAATCTGTAAACGGGTGCTGCTTCCTAATCGTTTGTACCCGTTTGTACCGCTTTCCATTTCGTTTGTACCCCCACGGGGGTGAAAGTACCGAATTTTTAAAATAGGGGTAAGAGCTAACTTTGTCAATTTTAAAGATATTCGAATTCCGCAAACGGGTGCTGCTTCCTAATCGTTTGTACCCGTTTGTACCGCTTTCCATTTCGTTTGTATTCCCACGGGGGTAAAAATATGGAATGCTGAACAAACTTCCTTAGGGGGACAAACGAAATGGAAAGCGGTACAAACGGGTACAAACGATTAGGAAGCAGCACCCGTTTACAGATTTCGAATGTCTTTAAAAATAGAAAAGTTACCCCTTTTGCAAATATTAAATACCCCGTATTTCCACCCCCTTAGGGGTACAAACGAAATGGAAAGCGGTATAAACGGGTACAAACGATTATTAAGCAGCACCCGTTTGCAGAATTCGAATATCTTTAAAAATAGCAAAGTTACCCCTTTCGCGAATATTAAATACCCCGTATTTCCACCCCCTTAGGGGTACAAACGAAATGGAAAGCGGTACAAACGGGTACAAACGATTAGGAAGCAGCACCCGTTTACAAATTTCGAATGTCTTTAAAAATAGAAAAGTTACCCCTTTTGCGAATATTAAATACCCCGTATTTCCACCCCCTTAGGGGTACAAACGAAATGGAAAGCGGTACAAACGGGTACAAACGATTAGGAAGCAGCACCCATTTACAGATTTCGAATATCTTTAAAAATAGAAAAGTTACCCCTTTTGCAAATATTAAATACCCCGTATTTCCACCCCTTAGGGGTACAAACGAAATGGAAAGCGGTACAAACGGGTACAAACGATTAGGAAGCAGCACCCGTTTACAGATTTCGAATATCTTTAAAAATAGCAAAGTTACCCCTTTCGCGAACAATAAATATCCCGTATTTCCACCCCCTTAGGGGTACAAACAAAATGGAAAGCGGTACAAACGGGTACAAACGATTAGGAAGCAGCACCCGTTTGCGGAATTCGAATATCTTTAAAATTGACAAAGTTAGCTCTTACCCCTATTTTAAAAATTCGGTACTATCACCCCTGTGGGGGTACAAACGAAATGGAAAGCGGTACAAACGGGTACAAACAATTAGGAAGCAGCACCCGTTTGCAGAATTCGAATATCTTTAGAAATAGCAAAGTTACCCCTTTCGCGAATATTAAATACCCCGTATTTCCACCCCCTTAGGGGTACAAACGAAATGGAAAGCGGTACAAACGGGTACAAACGATTAGGAAGCAGCACCCGTTTGCAGAATTCGAATATCTTTAAAATTGACAAAGTTACCCCTTTCGCGAATATTAAATACCCCGTATTTCCACCCCCTTAGGGGTACAAATGAAATGGAAAGCGGTATAAACGGGTACAAACGATACTGAATCGAACGGCACCACAAAAATTACGATATCTCAAAGTGGGGTGCTGGTGATTTTTCAACCCTTAATAACTTGCAACCCTTAGGGGTACAAACAAAATAAAAATCGGTACAAACGGGTACAAACGAAGTACAATCGAATGCGTACCTGAAATATCCATTTACTTTAAGTAGGGTGCCAGGTTCACATAGCTCTATATTTATCCTTTATTTGATATTTTATCATACAATTTTTTTACATACTCTTTCGGGTAATTGAAATTATCTATAAATTATGAAAATTTATTTTTTTATATATTTTCCACTTATTTTCTGAATATATTATTATAAAATATGCGACAATAGGTTTTACTTAAAGAAAGCAATTCTGTAAAGATTAATATCCATATTCTTGATTTATAAAAATGTAGACATTTAATTTTTGGTTATACGCGCGTCGGATTACTTGGACGCTTCGATACGGGAATTAAAATAATTGTGAGAGAGTATTTACGGTTAACACCAAATATATTTTGAGAACAATCTTTCGATCTCGGTACAGAAATATATAAAAATCGTGCGGATTAATAACGTGCGACTGTACGCGGCGACTGTCGGTAGCGGAATCCTCTAGCATGTAAAACGCTCTTCCTATCGTTCGCCTTAAAAAATTCACTTTCGATAGGCTTCGAAAATGTTCTATTCGTTTATTTCCTTTCTGTTACGTCTCGATGTTTTTCGTCTTTCGTCTGTTATATTTTATTTATGTTTATTAGTGAGTGTTCGTATGTATGTATGTCCGTATTTATATACGTGTTTTCGCTTTCGATTTTTGGGGAAGCATGTGACGATATAATCGCCACAGTACTCCCCCGCCAGTGCTATACCGATAGCACGATACGTTTGCGTGATGCACTGTTTTCGCAAAAGTTTTTTTCGATGGCAGACCGAGACGAATGTTACCGAATGTTGCATACGCACGACAAAGACTTTGTCGCCTCGGCTGATCACCGCGTACGGCCCCTCGTACGGCGCCTGCAACATCTTTTTCGGTCCCTCGTGTCGCACGAACACCTGTTCGGCCGTCGCTAGGTCCTTGTAAATGAACGGCCGTCGCTCCCCGTGTCGGGTGCCATCCACCGGTCGCAGCTCCTCGAACTGCTCCCTCAGCGTCCTTGCGAAGTCGGCCGCGTCGTCCTCGTTGTCCACAGGTCGTTGGCCCAGGAATTGCCCTGGGATCCTCAGCGTCTGGCCGTACACCAGCTCCGCTGCGGTCGCCTGCAGGTCGTCTCTCCACGCTGCTCGGATCCCGAGCAGCACCGTCGGCAGCGCCTCCGTCCAGCGATCATTCTGCCGGCATTTGATTGCCGCCTTGAGCTGGCGATGCAACCTTTCAACCATTCCATTGGCCTGCGGGTGGTACGCCGTCGTCCTCAGGTGCTGCACTCCCGTCATCTCGCTCAGCCGTCGAAAGAGATGGGACTCGAACTGACGCCCCTGGTCCGTTGTTACTCGCACGGGCGCCCCGAATCTGCAAATCCATCCCTTGTAGAACGCTTTTGCGACCGTCTCCGCCTCCTGGTCTCGTAGTGCGAACGCCTCCGGCCACCGTGTGAAGCGGTCCACGCACGTGAGGCAATATCGCATGCCCTCTGAGACGGGCATCACGATAATGTCCAGGTGTACGTGCTCGAATCTGCTCGATGGTACTGCAAATTTTCCTAATGGCGCCGAGACATGTCGGGAGATCTTCGAACGTTGACAGGGCACGCATGCACGCGCCCAGCTGCGACAGTCAACGTTCATCGACGGCCAGACGTAGCGCTGCGCCACGAGTCTGCCCGTCGCCTTGATTCCTGGGTGTGCCAGGTCGTGCACCAAGTTGAATGCGGCCCGCCGAAAGAGCCTTGTCAAAAACGGCCGCGGTGTCGATGTCGTCGTATCGCAGTAAACTTGTATCCCCGTTCCGGGAATCTGCACTTTCTCGAGTTTTATTCCGGTCTCTCGCCTTGTATAATCGTCGAGTTCTTTGTCAGTCCCCTGCGACTCCGCCAGTGCAGCGTAGTCCAGGGGAGAATTCAGCTCCTCGACTCGTGATAACGCATCCGCCA